TAACTTAATTCCTGTTTCAGAGTGTCTGTGTATTTTATATTGCAGGATCCAAGCAGCATGCTTATGCTCCCACACAGATTACATATTTGCACATTTTCCAAAGCATGTTTATATGCAATACATTTTATATTTTCCACAAGCAGCATATTTATATTTTAGGCAGGTTATATGTTTTAGCGCATCTCTTATGATCTTTTAAAACATGATTATATATGTTGCATACTTCTATAAAATATGAACACATTAATACATTTCATCCACAAAAGGAAGCACTGCTTTGTGGAGATGTTGCTCAGGTTGGATAATGGGGTGTAAAATCTCTGTTTTTTTAAGCTAACCACGACAATATTTGATCTGTTACAATGTAAGTAAAATATATTAATAAGGAGATCTTTCTTTTGCAGAGACATTCCTCCATTTCTGGGTCCATGTCTGCAGCCAAGCCTCCGTCCCCTCGGAGTGATAAGAGCCCCAGCTACACTGATATCAGTATGCCAGGTGAGAAGCCATTACTGTAGTGGTTTAAAGTCAGTCTTTTGTACTGAATTTGTACTATTGATCGTAACACTACTACAGTACAAACAGCAGGGGTGTGCCAATTCATCGATTATTAGATTAATCCCGATGCGACACGTGACGATTCGATTATGATTAATAAATGTTCAAAAACTATTTTTTTTAATAATAACAAAATGACAGGAACACAACCGCTGCTCGCGGAACGGAAGTAAAAGTCGCGCGTGCCGCCGGGACACCTGAAGGAACGGACCAAAAGAAAATGTCGGCAGCAAACTCTGCTACAGTACGTAAGATTCACTCACCAGGACTTAAAGCTAGCGTTTGGAAGCATTTTGGCGTTTATGAATGTGAAAATGGGAAGGGTATTGTTGGCGTTTGCCGTCCCTCAACCTTTGGGCAGCGGGATCCAACTCGTCCCGTGTGCGTGTTTCAGGGACACAGTCAATGTAGACAATATTAATGATAAATAACTAGAAAGGTGAAATGAGCAAACAACTTTATTTGTTCAACAGTGCATTTACAGAGATCTCTGGTTTCGTTGACAAGTCACCGCGAACGGATCGTGTCTCCCTCTAGATGTCAATGCTCACAAGCAGTTGCATGTGTGATGTCGACGAAGCAGAACCACGAATGAATGCCCTCTCTCTGTACAGTGTCTCAAACTCTTCTTTCTCAAGCTGCCCCCTCAGTGAACTTATCTCTGTTACAGATTAGAAATTGTTTTCGAAACTCAGTGTGATTCAGTGGCTAAGACAGGGTGCAGTGTCCACAGCTGATTGAACATGGTTATACAAAATGGCGATTAATACAAAATGGATATATTTTAACAGTATAGACAAAACCTACTCCACATGTAAAGCGTGTAAAACTAGAATTACGTATAGTGGTAATACTACAAACATGTGACAGCACCTCGCTCGTTTCCACCCGGAGTTAGGGGATGAGAAGAATCCGCCGGTTGTTACTGGTAACCAGCGAACAATAGAAGGATTTTCAAACCTTCCCCGCAGCTCTGAAAGGGCGAAACGAATCTCATCATCCATCGCAACTTTTATCGCTAAGGATCTACGCCCATATGCGGTCGTTAACAACCAGGACTTTCTGGAGCCCAGATACAAACTCCCGAAGCGAAAGTACTTTGCCCGGAAAGCAGTTCCCGTTCACTGTACAACGTGACCAAAACCAGAGTACTGGAATCACTGAAGAAAGCGTGTCGGATAGCGCTAACGTGCGATGCATAGACTTAAGTTGCTACAGAGTCATATGTCACGGTAACAGCGCACTTAATGAGTGAGACGAACTACGACTGGGAGCTGGTGAGTTATGTCCTCCAAACGAGTGATGACTGAGAGACACACCGGTGCAAATGTAGCTGAGCTGTTGCAAAAAATAGCAGAAGAATGGCAAATAATTGACAAAGATTTGGCTTTAGTCACAGATAATGGCTCAAATATGGTTGTTGCTACTCAGCTGGGAAACTTCCTCCATGTTAAATGTTATGCACACACTCTAAACCTTGCCTCAGAAAGCACACAAGTTGCTTGCTGTCACAAGGTTACTGGGCAGGATCAGACAGATGACCACATTTTTTCACTGCAGCACCACTGCCAATCATCTGCTGCAGGAGAATCAGAACCTGGTTAACCTCAAAAATCACAAGCTTAAGACAGATGTGTGCACTAGGTGGAATAGTGCATATGAGCTGGTTGAAAGGTTCCTGGAGCAACAGCCTGCTATCTGCGCCACCTTACTTTCTCCTGGGGTGAGGAAAAAAGACTCAGACATTGCTACTCTCACTGAAGCTGACATCTTAAATGTATCACATAACTGCCCTCAAGCCCATGAAGGATGCCACGACTCTATTCTCTCAGTAGAAAACCCCCGCTGTGTGTTTGATTGCTCCTGTACATGCCAAGCTCATCCAGAACACAAGACCCAGTGCTGATGAGTCACCACTGGTCCGGGAGATAAAACAGGCCATCAGTGAGGATCTCAGTAAGTGCTACAACAGTGAGCAGGAGAGAAACACTATTCACACAGCCGCTGCCCTTGATCTGTGTTTCAAGGCCTTACCTTTCCTTTCTGAGGAGAGAGAGGAAGCGTATGAAAGACTGAGGCTGCATCATTAGAGGTAATACTGCTATTTTAATTTTGTTTTAAAAAAGTGTAAACTGTCCTTCTGGGCTGACTAAGTAAAAAAACATTAATACAGTTATTCCATAATACAAGACTTATAGTAATAAATAGAAAAGGTGAATTTGTGTTTAATTCGTGAGGTTTTAAGATAATATTTCAATAAAACTTTTGTGGGTTGAATTTGTTTTTTCCATTGTGTAAACATCCAGCAAGAGGTGGAGGTAAAAGGGGAGACCCTCCCCAGAACAACTGTCAGCTCAGCAACCAGTGAGTCACACCAAAGCCCTGCTGCCAAAAGAAGAGTTTCATCATCTTCTCTGTTACAGAATCTGCTGGGGTTGGCCTTCTCTGATCAGAGTACAAATCCACTTTTTTAAAATGTTAAGATTTACCCAGTAGCAAATTTCTTTGTGTGTCTGAAATCTACACTATACTTTCATATTGTACCAGTATTTAGCTGGTGGGTGATGCCAATTTCCATCACTCTCTCTCTCTATGATGCTACAGCTCAGCACAGTCAGCAACAGCCCAAGTCAGCGCATGCCAGAGCAGAGGAGGAAGTGTGTCAGGAAACTTTTTCTGTTAGATAGGACTGTAAAATATGCTGTTAGTTCATACCCCAGTTTCCTAACACACAAAGAATAAAAAAAAGAATCAAATACGAGATCTCAAAGTTTAAAAGTTTTACTTGCAGCAAGGAGTGCAGAACAATGGTTACATCCGGAACTGCACTGGGGAAGCCCTTAGTGCTCAATTCTTAAATATAGTTTTTTTTACATACACACTTCAATGGTCAGTACCATGGCATTCCACAGCCATGCGGTGTTCACGCACCACTTCTGAGCACTGATTGGTAAAGACTGCTCCAAACAAGGATTCTCAACCAATAGAAGCTACGTATGTGCATGTGCTGTAATCAAGTCAGATAAGACCATGCAGTTCGGATGCTTTTCTCTCTTTGTCTTTTGTTGCTCTTCCGTCGGTCTCCTTATTTGGGCAAAGAAACCAGTTCTGGACGGTTCTGTGTCCTGTTTCTATCTCTAAGTGTGACAGTTGGTACCATTCAGTGCTGTCCATATCATATTGTTATGTAATCCACCAGCATGCACACCTGTCTTCAGCACTTTCCCTTTTAGTACAGCATAATAACAGCATTCAATAACAGTATAAATTGATATGGAAACTTAATACAATGAATATATTGTAAAGATTGAATAAATGTATTTACAACATCTTAACAAAGTGACCAAGTACTGCCATGCTGAAACACCTGCTCTCTCAGAGGACCCTCTCTGCTGGTGGAAAAATAATCAAGTTCTGTATCCTATGGTTTTCCTTGGCCAAGAGGTATCTGTGCATTTCTGGCACCAGTGTTTCTGCGGAGAGAGTGTTCTCTACTGCAGGAGACATAGTGACTGCACAGTGGAGCACACTTGATTCAAAGCATGTTGACCAGCCCTTGTTCTTACACAAGAACTTATAATTTTACAATCCCGAGACTGATGACAGCAATAGTGATAGTGAAGACAGCAACGATGATGAGTAGCTATTTGCCTCGATGTTGCATTTACCTGCCCTGGCATGATTTAATTCATTGTATTCTTTTATCCATGTACCATTTATTCAAAAATCCAAATTCCACAAGTGTTATGAGAGCTGATGGTGTAGAATATTGTTTTAAAGCTAGTTTGTTGTGTGATTTATGCTGCTCATTGAGGATTCTGTTTGGAAGTCTTTATTGTTACTGAATTGTGTGTGTTGGTTCAGATTGAATTAGCTGAATAAGCTAATTGGATTTTTTTTGTAATAGACCTGCTAGTACAGAAATAAAAAAAAAAACACTAAGGATTTTGGTTAAAAGAAGTCTGCACAGAAACACAAGAAAACAGTTAATCTGGCAACGAAATGTTGTTGCATAGCAACCGGAGTACACAGTTTGTAGGCCATGAGTAATTACTTTAAGTATGTCTACATACACATGTATATATGTAGTGCAGAACAGAAATTGTGCCAAATATTAACTAATGGTAGATTTACATGTAAATAGTTCAGAAGTGTGTTGAGATAAACTATAAGGTAAATATAAATATAAACAGTATGGAGTGACAAATGTAAACAGGAATAAATAAGTAACAGTGATATTGCACTTAATTGCTCAGTAATCTTACACAATAGTATTGCACCTGTTTTTTCATCTCGTGCGTTGACTTTTCTCAGAGCTGAGGAAAGACCTGATCGTCGGGGTGGGGGGTAGCTTTCCTTGTTGGTGTGTTGTTCAGAGCTTCAAATCTTCCAAAGAAGTTGTTGAGCTCATTGAGGAAGCTGATGTCATCCTGGCAGGGGGAAGGTGTGGATTTGTAGTCTCTGACAGACTGGATTCCCTGCCACAGTTGTCTGGTGTTGCTGGGGTCATGGAAGAAACCCTAGATCTTCCGACTGTGGACACGCTTTACATCCCTGATAGCCTGGTTCAGGTTGGCTCTTGCTGATCTGAGTGGCACCGCGTCACCTGATTTGAAGGCTGCATTGCGTTCCCTCAGTCTCGTATGCACCTCCTTGTTCATCCATGGTTTCTGGTTGGCCCGTGTTATTATTGTCTTTGTTGCTGTGACCTCCATGCACCACTGATGCAGCATACTCCTTCACATCTGTGTGTTGACTGTCCGTTGCAGCCTCTCTGAACATGCCCCACTCATTGCACTCAAAGCAGTCCCTCAGGCCACACTCTTACCTTCTTCACAGCAGGCTTTTCTCTGATGAGCAGGGGCTGGTATGCTGGAATTAGCATAACAGAGAGATGGTCTGAGGAGCCGAGGTGGGGGGCTGCTCTAAAAGCCTTCTTGATGTTGTGTAGACTAAGTCCAGTGTAGTCCCTTTTGTTGTTTAAATCCAGTTTAAGGTAATCCAGTTGGCGATCGGAACGGGTTAGCTTTTAGCTTAGCTGTAAGTCCTCCGCGGTAACCGCGCTTCTGTTTCCTCTCGCACCGCCTCCGGTGACTCCGTGGACGGCCTGTGCTGGTAGGGGACTCCGCTGTTGTGTAGGCCGCTGGGTCTGACCTAGGCTCTGCAGATCCTTGGTCTTCTACGTAGTTAAAAAACTTAAACTTATCTTTATTTTGTCATTGTGACACAGCACAGCACACCACCAATTTACCCTCTGCATTTAACCCATCACCAAAGTGAACAGTGGGCAGCCGTGGTCAGCCCGGGGAGCAGTGCTTGAGGACGATGCCATGCTCAGTGCATCTCAGTGGTAACCTGGCAGTTGGTGGATTCGAACCTGGGGCCTTCCGGACCGAAGTCCGCTTCCTTTACCACTAGGCCACCAC